ATATCGCCACCAATCCACAGAAATACAACTACCATCAGAAACTACTTATAAACACCTCTATACAAAAAACCCAGAAAATCTGAAGAAATGAGAGAAATCTTGGACACATACACCCTCCCAAACCTAACCAGGAAGAACTGAACCCGAAGTGAACCAGTAACAAGGTTCTAATGGGCAATGATTAATAGCCCCTACCAAACAAAAAAGTCCAGGACTAGACGGATTCCACAGCCAAAATCCCCCAGGTACCAAAGAGAACTGGTACCATTCCTCTGAAACTATTTCCAATTAATAGAAAAAGAAGGAACCTTCCATAACTCGAATTTTACGAGCGGCCCAGCATCATCCTGATACCAACAGGCCTGCAGACGACAGACACAAAAAAGGAATTTACACCACAATCACCTGCATGAACATGCGACACAAACATCCTCAATAAAAATACTGCAAACCAAAATCCAGCAGCACATCAAAAAGGGTTATCACACCAATATCAAGATTGGCATCCATCCCCTGGAGGACCAGGGCTGGGTCAACATACACAAATCAATAATGTAATCCATGCATATAAAGCAAAATCAATAATGAAAGGATTCCCTATTAATAAATGGGCTCGGGAAAATTGGCTAGCCATGTGTAGAAGCTGAACTCTATCCTTGTCCTTACACCTTATGACAGAAATTAGTCAGATGGTTAAAACTTATATGTTATACCAAAAACCATAAAAACCCTGGAGAAAACCTAGGCAATTACATTCAGGACATAGGCATGGGCAAGGACTTCATGACTAACACCAAAAGCAATGGAACAAAAGCCAAAATAGACAGAATGGATCTAACTAAACTAAAGAGCTTCTGCAAGCAAAAGAAACTATCATCAGGTGAACAGGCAACCTACAGAATGGAAGAAATTTTACAATCTACCCATCTGACAAAGGCTAATATCCAGAATCTACAAAGAACTTAAACAAATTGCAAGAAAAAATCAAACAATCCATCAAAAAGTGGCAAAGGATATGACAGACACTTTAAAGAAGACATTTATGTAGCCAACAGACACACAAAAACTGCTTATCATCCCTGCCATCAGAGAAATGCAATCAAAACCACAATGAGGATACATCTCCACCAGTTAGAATGCGAGATCATAAAAAGTCAGGAAACAACAGGTGCTGGAGAGGATGTGGAGAAATAGGAACACTTTTACAATGTTGGTGGGACTGCTAAACTAGTTCAACCCTCGTGGAAGACAGTGTGGCGATTCCTCAAGGATCTAGAACTAGAAATACCCATTTGACCCAGCAATCCCATTACTGGGTATATACCCAAAGGATTATAAATCATGCTGCTATAAAGACACATGCACATGTATGTTTATTGCGGCACTATTCACAATAGCAAAGACTTGGAACCAACCCAAATGTCCATCAGTGATAGACTGGATTAAGGAAAATGTGGCACATATACACCATGGAATACTATGCAGCCATAAAGAGGATGAGTTCATGTCCTTTGTAGGGACATGGATGAAGCTGGAAACTATCATTCTGAGCAAACTATCACAAGGACAGAAAACCAAACACCACATGTTCTCACTCATAGGTGTGAAATGAACAATGAAGACACTTGGACACAGGGTGGGGAACATCACACACCAGGGCCTGTTGTAGGGTGGGAGGGGGAGGAGATAGCATTAGGAGTTACGTCTAACATAAACGACAAGTTAATGGGTACAGCACACCAACATGGCACATGTATACATATGTAACAAACCTGCACATTGTGCACATGTACCCTAGAACTTAAAGTATAATTTTAAAAAAA